CCCACTATTCGTTGGTAAAAGAGTAGCCCAAGAGTTGGCGGTGGGTGGTGATGACTAGCTGCCTTCCCTCTAGTCTTACACTGCTAAATTAGGGACGGCTAGCGCAGATAGCCCTCGTGTAGCTTTGCGCGAAATTCCAAACAAAAACAAACGGTGATTATACCCATTGCTTTGGATTGTGTTGGATTTCCGTTCAAGCCAATGGTTAAGGAAATCAAACTTCTCGTGCAGTTGTTATGACAATTTGTTTGATTTGATTAGTATTGTCGAAACGTTGTACATTTGCTGTTATGTTAAACTTATATTAAAGTTTTTCTTCATTACCCATTCAAGCCGTCTCCAGCCATTATTAGCATTGTAGTGCTTTGTTTTACAAAAATTAACCAAGGTACGCTTGTACATTTTTGACTGGCATAAAACATGCATAACTCAGCAGCAGAAATATATATATAATTATTTCAAAAGAAAGTAAACTGGAATCACATAGTTTAGACTGTTCAACATCGCTTATTTCTGATACTACATATTAATCAATCCCGAACCAGTTTGCAAAATGCCCTTTTAACTGACTGTATTTTGACTTGAACTTAGGTAGTCTTACATTCATTTATTAAAAACGCACCTACGTCTCATAGTACAGGAACTGATTTGAGATGCTTTGTCGTTTTTTATGTATATTTTTCTTTTTCAACCCCCCCCCCCCAATGTCTACGGAGTTACAACGCTAGAAACGAGGTTTCGATATCCGTGGTGGGCAGAGCACAGATAACCCATTGATTAGCTTTGCGCTTAACTACAAGCACGAAAGAATCTGAAAAGGAAAGATGATACTTGAATCTAATTGAATTAGACATTTTTACTAAAAGAAACTTGAGCGAGTAAATAGCTAATGAAGTAATAGTATTAAAATTATTGTACTTACTTTGGATACCTGGTGTTGAAATTAAAATAATTATAATATCAAAAATCTTTAAAAAAGTGATAAACAGTAATTTAATAATACTAAGGTATGAAGTTACTGCCGACAGAGGGATCGTGCACGGAACTGCTAACACACGGTGGCGTCGGTATCGATGTGGTCCCAACACTGGGCCAGCACGCTTCACAATTCACCACTTGGTCAGTCGCTGAACCTGTACGCGAATTTCCCTGATGTTTATTTTACCAATTCCACTAAAAGTGCGAAAAATGTGAAAATTGGAAGTTTAGAATGATTAAGACGGAATTTAAATACAGTGAAGCTAAACTACTGGCAGAAAAGCCGATTTAATTAACATGGAAACAAAATAATATGAGCTAGAATACAGTATCACATTGTTATGTTACATGAAAACAAGCATAGTTTCAATACGTTGGTAAGAACCTTGTTCTAAATTGCGGAATAAAATGATATAATGATTAACCTTTGTTCACATTTAAATGTGTGTATTTGTCACTGACATTTTATAGGGTTAGGATAGTTTCCTCGGGTGTGTCAACTACTGGCTGGTTGAAGAGTTTTATTCTCACCCGGTTCTTCTCATGTACTGTGGTGTGGTTGTCTTGGACCCGCTGAACACACATGGAACAGCACCTGGTTTTACTTGTTTACAAAATAATATATATATATATTTAACTTTACAATATTTACTGACAATCACTTTCTAGGCCTACTGTACATTTTAACATAGGGGTAAGTATTGTTGAAATACTAGTCTATCATGCATTACATAAGCCTAGTCATAGGCCCATAAACTAATTTTGTAGACTAAGTTTAGCTAAATGGGACGTAATGGGGGGAGTGTATTTTGAAAATAAAATTTCTAAATTTGACTCAACATAAAAAGATTATAAAATGGGAATAATTTTAGACAAATTTCTAAATGAAAGGCAGAATTATTGAAAACTTTATTAAAACATAGGCCTACTATAGCTAGTTTCAGATACAT